ATCAATGAGATCCAGTTTCAGTGAAAGACCTTGCTTCAGAAACCGAGTTGGAGAACGACAAAAGGAGACACTTGTGGTCACCCTCTAGCCTCTCTATACATGAATGGGCACGTGTGTTTGTGCACACACACACACACACACACACACACACACTTAAAAAGAAAAATCTCAAATTCTAACCTAGAATCTGGACTTTAGGAGGAACGTTGTAACTATGGATAACTTGGATAGTTAAGACAGTCTACTATTTACCTAGGAAAATCTAAAAGCAGTTACTTCTCAAACACACCTTTAATATAACAAAACATAGCTAAATAAACTTTTGTTTTTGTTTGTTTGTTTGTTTTGAGACAGGGTTTCTCTGTGTAGTTTTGGTGACTGTCCTGGATCTCGCTCTGTAGTTCAGGCTGGCCTCGAACCCATAGAGATCCGCCTGGCTCTGCCTCCCGAGTGCTGGGATTAAAGGCGTGCGCCACTGCCACCCAGCTAAATAGACTTTTATATTGTCTAATGGGTTAGAGATATTTCTAAAATACACATTCGTCTTTAAATTTTAAGTAATATTTTTTAATTTGAAGAGAAAGGTTTATTTAACAATATTCTGTCTTAGTTATTAAGTCCAGTATAATTAAGTTTCAAGAATTATTTTTCCTGTTCCACAATTAAAGCTTCCTAGATGCTGTATTTTGTATATAGATTTTTTTTTTTTGTACAGAGACAGACTTAAAGTCTGACAAACAGTTGTCGATCCCCGTTACTGTATCTGTTTCCCTTTGCACTGCTAAGGCTAGCTTGAAGCTCTTCTCCACTGTGACCTGCTCCACACCCTTCGTTCACCCTCTCCCACGGCTCATTATCTAGGCCACTATCATCAATGGCTATCAGCATTTACCGGTCATTGATTCTTTCTCTTTATTCCCTGTCAAGTTACTGTTTACCTCTCAGGTTGCCAGTCTTTACAGATCAAACACAAACTCACCCTCATTAACCTCTTTCATTTATGTTTCTAATAGGTTACTTCTACAAGCACCGTCCCCGCATGAAGTACATTCTAAACGCCCTTCAACATTTTCTATTTCTTTGTACTTTGATTTTAAAATACAAGAATGCTTCGACAGAGCTTTTTTCTGAGACTTGCTTTGTAGCCCAGGCTGGTTTTGAACTCACTATTCTTCTGCCTCAGTTGAAGGCTGGAGCTGTAAGAATGCACCACCATTCCCAGCTAGCTTCATTTTATAGAAGGAAAAAAAAAAGTGAAGTGCAGAGTGCATTTTTTTCTGTTTCACTTTAACACATTTGTTAAACATGCCCAGAATAAACAATTTCGAAAGAATCATGTACACATTTTTTAAAAAATCAAGTATTTTTTAACCTAAGAAATCCGTGTGTCCTTATTTTTGAAAAGTTTTCTGTTTACCGTTTGGCTAATCAGTTTGTAGTCAGACCAGGAGCTGATACCCCTAGTACCAGATCCAGGTGCAATTTAGGGAAGTCAGTTTCTTTTCCAGATTTCAGTTTTCTAAGGATAGCAGGCAAATTAAAACTCATCAAAATGTCACAAACAAGAGTCAAATCTCCGTTTAACATAACAGGGATAATCATTTAAAAGAAATTTCTACAGAGTTCTTCTTGATGCCTTTTTGTGGTAATGGCTCCCAAAATATAACAGACAAGATATTATATAACTTCAGAGTACAGGCCAATTATTTTTGATCCTTGATTTTAACAAATCAGGAAAGGTCAATATCCATTCGAGTGTCCTAAAGCTTTTCTTTTTTAAACAGTGGCACTACTGATATTTTGGACTGCAAGAATTCCTTCCTATGGGGGACGGCTTCTCCACGTAGGATGTTTAGCAGCCTCCCTGCTTGTTACCACTGGAAGCCAATGACACCGTCCCTTCCCCTACAGTTTCATGTTTCATTTTGCAGGATGTCCCAGGAAGGGCCCTTATGCTATTGTTCTTGATCCTGGTCATAACTTAAGGAAAACTTTCTCACCACGCCCAGAGTCCTGGAAACCCTGCAAACAAAGGGAGAGGAATTCCTCGCAGCAGGAACCCAGTTAGGTTGCACCTGCCTGGGTTTCCAGACACAACAGCCACATCGACAAAAGGAGAAGAGGTGGAATCTACAGCATAAACCTGAACAGGACCTGGGAGAAGCTGCTGCTGGAACCATTGTTGCCATGGAGAACTCCGGCTGATGTCAGGGTCATCTCTTCTGGGAACACTGGCCAGGGAGCTTTACTAAAATTTACTGCTGCTACCACAGCCGTTCCTATTGATGGCAACTTCATTCCTAGGCCTTTCATTAACTCGATTCAAGCAGCTTTTCAGGAGCCTTGTCTTCCAGTGGTGACTGGTTCCCGGGTTGAGCAGCAACCCCTCCTAGAAGCATCTTATGCGCATAGATTCTCCTGTGCAATGTGGAACATGGCCATTCCACGCAGCAGGAGAGCGCCCTCCGCTGGTGTGATGGGTGCGTGATGGCTGACCTAAAGCGATGAGAAAGAAGGGATTGCTGAAAAGACCAAGGAGGAAGGTCAGGGTGTATGTAAGGGCTTTGCTACCTCCCCGAGTTCTCCGTGGCTCAGCCTGAGGTGGCAGACTGATCTGAAGATACTTAGGTGGCAGCTGAGCCTATCTACTGAAAACTGGAGTGCTAAGGCAGCTGCTGGGAATTGGTCTTGTAACTCTCCCTGCTCAGGCCACTGAATGAGTTGGAACAATCACAGATCGGTTGCAGGCTGTTCTGCAAACACTTAGGCAAAATGGAAAGAAGGCAGATGGAAAATAAAGTTTCTAAAAAACAAAACAAAACAATACTTTCAATGGAGAGGAAGAGTAAAGATAAGTCAGGAAGGAACCTGGTTTGAGAAGCTGAACCAAAACCTAATCAAGCCCAGTTCCATTAATTCCTTGAGACTGTTTTTTTCTGTGCTGAGAGATTAAATGGAGGTTCTGGGATGCATATTGAATAGAGCTGTTGGGTAAATCATTGTATTTACATAGTATTCCTGTACTGGCATTTTCTTCCTGCAGTAAACCTGGTACAAATATCACAAGTGCTCTGGGTTCTCTGATGTGAAGAACATGGCTTATCCTTGGTCTTAGGGAGTCAAGTTCCAGAACTAGAAACCTGAACCATATGTGACTACCCTTCAGTCAGCATGTGCAAGCTCCAGATGTCAGTAGAAGGAAGCTAAGCTGCAGGGCAGTTCCTGTGGTTATTTCTTTTTTCCTTTTTTGACAGGGTCTTCTTGTGTAGAACAGATTGCCTGGAACTCACAATTCTCCTTCCTCAGTCTCCTGAGTGTTGGGATTACGATGCTCCACCATGCCAAATCTATGGCTACTTCCTAGCACAATAAATAGTGAAAGGAGCCCTCAGCCTCCACATTAGATCTTACAAAACATGAAAGCAACATACAGACTCACACGTGTCTAGTGAGCACTTCTCTTGTCTTTTCAAAGCCTAAGCATAGAAAAGGGTTAGAAAACAATTTTTTTTAACTTTGAGACAGGACTGAGACTGACTTTCTCTCCTTCTTGCTATCTTTCTTTCTTAAAAATTTTATTACATTTTGGTGTGTGTGTGTGTGTGTGTGTGTGTGTGTGTGTGTAAGTATGTGTGTGTGTGTATGTGAGATGACAGGCATGCAGAGGTCAGAGGACAGCCTTTGAAAGTCAGTTCTCTCCTATCAGGGATTGACCTCAGCTCATCAGGGTTGTAGGCAAGTGCCTTTACCCACAGAGCCATCTCGACTGCCCTTTTTTATTTTCTTCCAGTTTTTAAAAAGCAGCTATGTGCTTTGATATTGGAAACATTTTGAAAACTTAAAAAGTAGCTATTATTAGACAAAAGCATTAAAATAGATAAAGGCAGAACATCGATGAAAAGGAAATTTTTAAAAATCACTCTTTGTCTCTGATAAAATTAAAAACAGCAGCAACAACAAAATCCAGGAGCAAATAGGAAAAACCATCTGAAAGACACATAGTACTGGTACCCTGGATATCAAGTCAATTGGTTATTAGGTCAGGGAAGCTGGTTTCCAATTGCAATTGTATCACAGAGCTGAGGGTTTGCTGGGGCTTTTCTACATGAAAGGGTTGCTGTGGAGCTCTCCGCTGAGGCTGAGCAGCATGATAAAGTTCAGTTTTCTGCTAAACACTTCCAAAGGCCTCAGCAGGATGTGCCATGTGGGATAAAAAGCCACAGCAGAGAATCACCCTGGATACACAACACTGTCCATCTACACCCAGACAAGATTTCACAATCAGCAAATCCCTCTGAAGAAAGGCCTTTTGTGCCATCATCACAAGAAGATAAAGACAATAGACCTATTTAGTGTTTTGTTTTTAATAGAGTTAATATTTTCAAGTGAGAAAGGTACTTTCCCGAACATTGTATTTGGGTGAACTAAGAGACAGATAAAGCAAGCTCTTTATCGGCAGCTCTAAATATTTCTCATTGCAGTCCATTGTTTCATCTAGCAATAAAACGACACCGAAACAGTAACAAGGAGAGAAACGGCCTGTTTCCCCTTAATAATTAATGTGAGAAGAAAACACCTGCTTGCTGAGGTCCTGCAAAAAATGGTTTTAATACAGGGTCACCGAAAATGCAAAGGTTTTATGGCCCACTATAAACCGGCTCTTTGTCTTTTCCCACTAATTCCTTCGTGTCACATTTAACAAAACGAGGAAACTACAGATAATAGGAGTGTTTGCAGATTAGACTTGCAAGCCATAAATAACATCGGGTTTTGTTCACCTAGAGATATTAAGGCAGCTTATCAATGTTTACGCCCTTCCTCTTTGTAATGATTGCTAACCCAGGCAAATGAAGTAAATGGAGTCCCCCCCCCCCCCCACCTCCGTTTTCTCACACTGACAGAGTACACATTCATAAGATTCTGTTATCAGAGGCCATGGTATAAAGAGTAAGGTGTCACCTAAACGGTTGCTTGCTGCCTGCAAACTTCTGCGTTGGAAGATGCGTCTGCTTTGTGCCTTCCTTCTTTGGCTCTCTCTGAGCAATGGCCTGGGCGCTAACTGTCCAGGGCGATGCAGCTGTGATGCCCCACAGTTTGTACAATGTTACAGACTCCTGAAAGTACCTTCAGGCATTCCTCCCACCACCAGGAGACTCTACATTAGCCACAGCCGAATCCAGCACCTTCAGGTAACCACCTCCATCTCCACTGAAATCGCTACAGTTTTGTTCTTGGAGCAGGGAGGGTGTGGGTTGAGTGTGGGGATTTTAAAATTTGAATCCTAATCAAAAAGGGCTAGTTCTCAAGTTAAGCCATTCTACTACGGCTTGCTGAGCATTAGTGAGATGCTCTATGCTTCTGGGTATTTCTTTTTCGGGAACTAGTCACATACACCCTGCCCTGAAAGTCAGAATTTTATTTCAATTTTTACCCAACAATTGAAAAGCCATGCTTTTACAAAGCACACATGAAGAATGGACTCTTTCTGAAAGAGTACATCCATTGCCTAGCATGGAGAACAAATCCTTCCAAAGGAAAGGGTTTCATTTTATGCCACAGGTAGCAGAACAGAGCGTCACAAAACTATCAAGATGAACTGGCCAGATTCACTCCTACAAACCCATATCCAGTTGGGTTCCTGGTCTTTTTGAGAACCTAGGTGGGAATATGTGGCTTAATTTTGTCAAGTTACTTGCAGTTCTCATGATGGGGCTCGAATTATGACTTCAATTTTCTTGAAATGGAACTATAGATTTGTCTGACTTTTTTAAGTTAAAAGAAATTGATTTTTGATCTTTGGTGTTTTGGAAGGCATCAGGAGACAAGGGCTCTCTCTGGTTAGATGCCTGACCATCTTAGACAAGCTACTAGCAAATCTCTGTGCCTCCTTTTTTATTCCGGATGAAGTGTGAAGGCTGCGTTAGACAAGTCCTCTTCTAGATGGTAAAGTCTACGGCTGTCTGATTTTCCCCTTCAGTATTCGCTGCTACTGGCTCAGAGGTCCAAACCCCCAAGATAAGGACATGGTTTTCCGAGAACTATTAGGTGAAGCTGCTCCCCTCCAGATAGAGGCGCCTCTGCACTTTCATTTGGTTGAGAACTTTTCCATGCTCTACAAGTCCCACTCTCCAAATCTGTTTGCTCCCCTTCTACCCTAATAGTACCTGACACCAGAGAGCAAATCCCGCCTTGCCTGCTGGGTCTTAGCGTTTAGACAAGACAGCTGGGTAAATGTGAGACACTTAAATATTTGTTCTGCGGCCTCAGCTGCCAGCAGAGTCTGGTAATGATTCTGCCACTCTGTTGTCAATTGGTGACTCATCAAATTCTGTTATTGACCGGGCCAATCTGTCACCTGTTTAGGCTTATTGAACAGTAGTATCGTCGTTTCTACGACTTTATCTCTCTTAGTGGTCTCTTGGAAGGGCAGGTCACATCAGAAAGATTGATGAAAGACAGATTGGTTTGTTGAGGAAACAAATCTTTCACTTGTGCACAGGGAGAGCAATGCATATTCTACAGTGAAGACAAGGTATAGTCTGTTTATTTAGTTTGGACTTAACAGAACTAGGTGCCCGTATGTAAAGAAAGCTACTTTGAGTAAAGCCTCAGATTATTAGTAACACAAATTTTGTCTGACTTAATTATGAACACGAATATAAGCAGCATTTAATGGGTTATTTGTTCATGCAGTTTAACTGTGTTTGGGATTGTGAACGCATGCTTGAGATTAAGAATAAGACTGAAACTTCTGCTTCTGCCCTTAGTATAAGCCGGGCGGTGGTGGCGCACGCCTTTAATCCCAGCACTCGGGAGGCAGAGCCAGGCGGATCTCTGTGAGTTCAAGGCCAGCCTGGTCTCCAAAGCGAGTTCCAGGAAAGGCGCAAAGCTACACAGAGAAACCCTGTCTCGAAAAACCAAAAAAAAAAAAAAAAAAAAAAAGAGGAATGTTACTTACTGGATTTGCCTGTAAAAACCCCCACTTTCCTGAGGTTCATGCTTTGGGCCCGTAATCGTCTTGCTTTTCCTTTTGCCCACGTTACACTCCATGTCTGGTCTCATCCTAGCTCCTTGTCTTCCCCGCCGCCCTAAGTCCTGCGTCTTCTTGGGTGTCTTTAGCCTCTATGTGATGCCTAGTCTAATGTCCCTGTCTCATGCCTCCTTGGTCTCAAAATGTATCTTTCTTCAATTCCACCTTACCTCAGCCGTCTTAGTTCTCTCACTTGGTTCTGTGAAAATCACGTCTCATACTCCCCTTTACCACTGTGACCATCTCCACTCAGAAAACCCTGACTTCTCCACTTAGTTGCCTCTCTTCTACCTTATGGAGACTTGGAACCCTAAATTTACCTGTGTTCTCCCAGATACTCGGTTTAGTGCCAATCTCCTTCCTTACACTGCTACTTCTCTCTGCATGCCACTTTTAATTATCTAAACATCCTTCCAGCAGGGCCTCAACCTAAAAGGAAGGTGCTAATTCTCCATGATTTCTTCTATACATAGACAAGTAGGTGCTGCTGGAGATGATCACACAACCAGATGGCTTGGAGCCACAACAAATACAAGGTCTCCAACCAGATGAATGTCTTGTTCATCCCTTTTCTTCTTTAATTTTTTTTTAAATTTTATGTACATTGGTGTTTTGCCTGCATGCATGTCTGTGTGAGGGTGTCATATTCCCTGGAACTGGAGTTACAGACCGTTGTGAGCGACCAGGTGGGTGCTGGGAATTGAACCTGGGTCCTCCGGAAGAGCAGCCAGTGCTCTTAACTTCTGAGCCATCTCTCCAGCTGCTGCCCCCTCCCACTTTTTCTTCTGTCTGTTCCAGTTTGCCCTTCACTCCCTCACAATCTTCTACAACTCCAGTACAGGTTTGGGTGCCCTCGTCAATGCTGCTGCCTCAGTCTCAACAGATGGCTGGTGGTCCATGACAAAATTCCATCTTCCTTCATTCCTGCTCAGTGTGTGCTAACACTATCTCCTTCTCACCTCTCCCTAGACCTTGCTCTGACATTCTCCACCCCCGCATCAGCAGTAGCCATTTCCTGCCTAGCTCTTTGTTCTAAGCCGCACACTTACTCCTCTTATTACAACAGTGAAGTCCTCATAGTATTGTTCCTCTCCTCCTGACCACCTCCCTTGATTTTCCAGACCCTGTGCCCTATCTCAACTTCCTCACCTCACCTCTTCTTTATTCTTTTTTTTTTTTTTCTTCTTCCGACACAGGATTTTTCTGTGTAGCATTGGCTGTCCTGGAACTCGCTCTGTAGATCAAGCTGACCTCGACCTCACAGAGAACTGCCTGCCTGCCTCTGCCTCTCGAGTGCTAGGATTAAAGGAAGAGCCACCACTGCCTGGCAAAGCTATTCCCCTCCTCCTCCTCCTCCTCCTCCTCCTCCTCCTTCAACATTTATTGTGTGTGTGCCCATTCATGTGGAAGTCAGAAGACAACTTGTATGAGTTGGTTCTCTCCTTCTACCATGTGGGTCCTGGGGATTGAACTCAGGTCCTTGGGCTTGGCAGCAGATGCCTTAATGCACTGAGCCATCTCTCAGGCCCCCTCTTCTTTAATTTGCTGCTGTCTTAGTCCTTCCTATTCCATGTAATTAAGATTCTAAATCCTGGCTGCATACTTCCATTTTCCAGAAGTTTACAGCCTCTTGCCCTTTGTGAAACCATATATACACGCCTCTCTATTTTGTCTTTTTTGTTCAGTTTTCTCAACACTCCCCTCACTGCTTTTGGAGTTTCTCAACAAGTCCGAATGACTAAACAATGTCCTTATACGACCTCAGTGTGTCTCAGTGATGATGGCTCCTCTACCTGAATCTCTAAGACAGAACTCCCCGCATCGTTCAGATTTATTCAGGGGTCATTGGGGTTCTTTACTTAGATATGAATGAGGATCTCAAAATAACATGCCTCAAACTGAATTTAGTCTTTCTCCCTGTACTTAGAGTCTTCTGTGACTGACTTCTTTTGCTAAACGGAATATCCTCAAGGTTCATCTAAAGTAGCCTATGTCAGAATTTCCCTCCTTTTAAAGGCTGTCTGGTTTTATATATATGATATATATATAATATATATATATCATATATATACATATATGATAGGTTATTATCCACTGTAGTCATCAGACGTATTGTTTCTTCATTTTGTCTATTGTGAGGCATGGTGCTATGAATACTTGTGTTTCAGTACAGAAGTTTTTGTATGGATCTAGATTGTCCCTTTTTGGGGGTATTTACATAGGAATAATTGTTTTCATGAAATGGGGCCTCTTCCAGCATGTGGAATAACTGTCGGACCGTCTTCCACAGCGGATACGTGGGTTTGTGCTCCTGTAGCACATTCAACACTTCCAACCACTCCACATCCTCCCCGACCGTCGTGGCTCTTTCTCTTTGTGACTGTAGCCATCTCAGTGGGTTCTGTTCAGATTTGGGCTAGCGACACTGAACATTTTTTTTCATTTGCTTGTTGGTCATTTATATATTGTTTTGGGGGGGAAGTATAAATGCAAATTCCTTGCTTATTTTTTCAACTGGGCTACTTGTATTTTAATTATCAAGTTGGAAGCATTCTTCAGGTATTGCAAGCACAAGTCTCTTATTAGAGATATTACTTGCAATTTCGTTCTCCCAGTCTGTGGGCTGATTGTCATTTTTTTTGTTGTTGGTGGTGTTTGGTTTGTTTTTGGTAGCGTTCTTTCAATACACAAATGTGTTTAGCTTTGAATGGGTCTGGTTTCTCCTTTGTGTGTCTGTGTTTCGTTTGTACTCCCAGCCTCATATCTAAGACGCTTCACCTCAGCCAAGGTCATGAATATCTATGCCTATAACTTCCTCTGAGAATTTATAGTTTTAGCTCTCACATTTAGGTCCACAGTCTCCATCCAGTTACCTTTTACATGTGGTGTGAGAAAGGAGTCATCCTTACTCCATTGCATTCTTCATCTTTTCCAAGTAACTAACTTGGAATAGTTACTTCCAAGCCACCATGAAGTACTTGATTGTACTGAGTGAAAGACATGAAAAGAATGTGACCAAAGTCCCATGTAAACACTGCCAGGGCACCACCAAGTTCGCTCCTGTTTGGGGAGGCGCAGACTCAGTTCAGTTCTTTGTGTCCATGTCTGTAACAGAACTAAATCAGCCCACTGGTGTCATTCAAAGTTACACAAGACCAAGCGATTAGTGTGTGTGTGTGTGTGTGTGTGTGTGTGTGTGTGTGTGTGTGTGTGTGTGTAAGAGAAGTTCTATCAATTTCCAACTGGGTCACTTAACAGTGGGACTACAGATTATTTTTATTGTCTTTCCACATTTCCCCAGATCTTTAAGATAATTTATAGAGAACAAATGTTCCTTTCATAATCAGAAATGAATGAAGGTTTCTTTAGAAACTCCTTGCTGGTTGCTTCATACAGGCCAGAAGCCATCTCACTGTGGGATTGGCAGTGTTGTCCTATATTGGGCCTATAAAGAGTCCAAGGAGAACGTGTGTGGCACCCTGACAGTTGGACCACAGCCTGCCCCGGACTGAAACCAGAAACAAAGCCTCTCATGGGAAAGCCGATGGGGGCAAACCTGCTCCACACCGCATCTCTGGCTTTGTCTTATTAAGAAACCCGAATAAGCCGCCGGCCATGCCAAGGTTAGCGGTGGGCAAACGCGTCTCTCTCCCCTTGCGTCAGCACATCCTTGCTGAGGTCATGGGAAGGGGGAAATCCGTTCTGGCAAACTCATTTCCCCGTTGTCAGCTCGGCAAACCCACCCCTCAATGTTCAGAATCAGTGGGTGATTCCACAGTCAGTCTCACCAGGAGACTACGTTCTCTGCCTAAATATGTCACAGCCAAAAGGGTCATAAAAATAGACACTTGAATAAGAAACCTGTGTTGGTGACTCTTCCACGTGCTGTCAGCATATGCTTGGGCAAGCAATTTTCATCTTCCTTTCTTTTTACTTTTTTGAGACAGGGTTTCTCTGTGTAGTTTTGGTGCCTGTCCTGGATCTCGCTCTGTAGCCCAGGAGGGACTTGAACTCACAGAGATCCGCCTGGCTCTGCCTCCCGAGTGCTGGGGTTAAAGGCATGCGCCACCACCACTGCCTGGCAAATGGTACATTTTTGTTTTTCTTTTTCCTTTTTTTCAGTCCGGCAATTTCTTAAGCCTTGGCAATCCTCCTTGAAGAGTCAATAATCACACTTAGTAAAAATTAAACAGTAAAATTTTTAGAAAGTGGTGGCTATGTTAGTTAACAGCCATCAAAACTAATCCACGCTGACTGACAAAAATAATAAAAATAATTCCGTGCTTGATAAAAGAAAAAAGCTAGCTGCTAGATTCAGTTAGGACGTGGCGGCGTCTCTTTATTATCTAGGCTGCTCTCTGCGCTTCATAAGTAGAAGTGAAAGCAAATTGAAACTTGGTAACATGCTTTGTCTAGTCCCAAAATGAATCACCCATTCGGATCCATGCCGATGACTCTTACAGCGTCATTAAGGTTTGTGGTCACTGAGGATAAGTAGAAGTTTTAGCAACACCAGATTCTTTCTTGGGGGATCCAACAGGTCAAGAAATGAAGGTCCATGTCTATTTCTGACTTTATATAAAAGATAAGCACCTAGCAAAGGTCATTTCGGAATGCAGCATGCAAATGGAACAGGCTAGTTACTTTTTGGGAGAGGGGGACTGAAATTCACCATTGAAATGGGAGACCCAGACAAGATAACTTATAAAATACCAGTTTTTCTAAAACTGTGTGGAATTGTGTCCAGATCTGGAGTTCCTTTTGAAATGTCATGATTATAGGCCAAACACAATAAAAAATGGCGTGGCCGAGGAAGGGTGGGCTTTGGAGTCCATAGACCTTGTCGAACTTCTCACTTACCACTTCCTAGTTTTCTCATCTCGATACTAATATTGGCAATAGCAAACTTGAAATGCTGTCGGGAGGCTGTGGGAAATATTTAAGAAAGTGCATGGCAGTCATAAATACTGAGCGAGTGCAAGAAAACACGTGCTGTGAAGATTAGGACAAATTAATGGAGCTGATGGATCGTTGAGAACGTCCTGAACAGCAATATATACCTCAGTGCCAATGTTTACTGTGAAGACACATGTATACCTTTGTCTCTTTGGGAATCTTTGTCATTAGTGAAGTATAAATTGCGGACAGAAAATACTTAGGCTTGTTTTCCAAATTAAGCATAACTGAAAATGTTTTGAGTAATATTCTAATGACAGAAGAATCAGTGACATTCAAGTTTTTGCTTTCCATATTTTTCCTCTTGTAATCTTAGTTTTTAGGATAAGAAACTTTTGGCAGTTTGGTGAGCCATTTGTAGATTGTTCAACTTCTGATTGTTGTAATGCAACAAGAGAACACTCTAGGGCACGAAGCATTGTGCAATTTTTAAGCACTGCTGCCTCGGAAAGAATTTCCTGGGTCAGAAAAAAAAATGTAGTAAGAGTTGCCCAATATCATATATGTGCCGGTAGTGTGTGAAAGAGTGTTTTTAATGTCTTACACTGATGGGAGCTATATTAGTCAGGTTTCTCAAGACCTAAGTTAGGGGGCAGATGCGGAGGGGAATCCAGGAAGAGTTGGGGGTGGGTAGGGATGGTAATGATCCAAATACATTATAAACGTGCATGAAATTACCAAAGAACTTAAAAGATTATCTAGACTTGATTTTAAATTATTATTCTAAAAGATAATGAAGAAAACTCAAAGGGAAGTCTCAAATATCACTAGTGTTGTAACGATAATGTGTGCATTTTTTTGACAGAATCTTAATTTATGTCTCCGTTTTCTTGTCCTCCCCCTTCTCTCTGTCATCACCACTGCTACTGCTGCCGCTGCCGCTGCTGCTTTGTAGCGCTCCAACTTCACCGGACTGTTGGCTCTGGAAGATTTTATCCTGCTGGCCAGTGGAACTGAGTCCGTAGAAAATGACACCTTCAAAACCCTGAGTGCTTTAAGGACCCTGGAACTTTGGAAAAATAAATTGAGACGAGTCCCCAGTGCTCTCCCAGCCAACCTGGAAGTGTTAAAATTAAACGATAATTCAATATGTGCTCTACACGGATCAGATTTTGAAGGACTGAAGAAATTAAAAGTCCTTGAGCTTAAAAACAATTTGATCTCTTCCCTGTCTCCCAGCATGCTCCCCTCGCTCATCAGTTTGCAAAGGCTGATGGTGGATGGTAACAACATAGAATCTATAGCTGGACCACTGAACCTTCCACAGCTCAAGTACGTGAGCATGGAGAACAACAAACTCCATCTTATACCGGGGAACGTCTTCACTTCTCTGCAGAATTTGCAGTTTCTCAGTTTCAGTGGTAACTTTCTGACGAAGATTCCTATAAATCTACCCAAGTCCTTGCTATCCTTAAAGATGGAGAGAAACCAGCTCAAAGCCATTAGGTTTCGAGATGTGAGACACTTGGAGAACCTGTCCCATCTTTACCTGTCAGAGAACTTCCTGTCTTCCATTGAGGGGGTGCAGCTACTTACCAATTTAACTACTCTTGAGGTCTCCCAAAACCGGCTTCAAATGTTGCCGCCCAGGCTCCCGGTGAGGTTACAGAAGCTTGATTGTAGCGGTAACTTCATTCAGAAAGTGACGGCACCAGAATTCCAGGACCTCCGAGACCTGAAGCACCTGTTTCTAGACAACAATGTCGTCAGCTTGTTCGAGGCTGGAGCCCTTCAGAGGTGTTCTCAGCTGTCCAACCTGGCCCTGGAGCAGAATTTGCTATTGTCCATACCTCTGAGGTGAGTGAATGATGTCATTTACTGCAGATTCCTGCAGGCACTGGAACCCATCAGCTGTCCACCTGAGTCATCAGTCAGAAAACAAACCTAGGGCTTTGGGACAGAAGTTCTAACAGTGGTCAAGAATCCCCAGCATGCAAACCGAATCTATAGAGAATTCATTTTGCTGGTGGAACAGTACACACAGGTGCTATTGAAACTGACAAACATAATATGAATACACTGTGAAAAGTGTGTCTTGATTTCTACATATGCTGTGTGCATAACTGGCTGACTGGGCATAGGTAGCCACTGGCCCGGACACCAGAAAACATGGATGGGGAATATTTGGTAAGATAGTTTTAGTTTGAAAAGCATCAAAGTAGCACTCATGTGGGAAAAAATTAAAATCTATAATTACTTATTAGGAAGTTCATATTCTTATTACTTATTAGGAAGCTCATATTCTTCTCAGCTCTATGACCCACCGTCTTAAGCAGGCTCTGCGTATCTGAGTCTGTATAAGAGGGTGAATCTATCAGCCTTGGTCTTCCTTTCTGTTTTCGGCTATGCATCTGCTTTCTTCTTTTTCTTCTCTTCTCCTTCTGGCCCCTCCTTTCCCTTCCTTTCTTCCTCCCCAACCTTTTCCCTCTCTTTAACTCTTCCTTCCCCTCCTTCTATTTTCTTCTTTCTCTTCCTGTCTCCTCACCACTTACACTTCAGTTTCCCTTTCCAAATATTCTTCCCTCCATACACAATTCACTTCAACTGTTTCCTTAACTACTCACCCATCCCCTTAACTGCTCAGCCCTCCCCTTAACTACTCAGTCATCCCCTTAACTACTCAGCCATCCCCTTAACTACTCAGTCATCCCCTTAACTACTCAGCCATCCCCATAACTGCTCAGCCCTCCCCTTAACTACTCAGTCATCCCCTTAACTACTCAGTCATCCCCTTAACTACTCAGCCATCCCCTTAACTACTCAGCCATCCCCTTAACTGCTCAGCCATCCCCTTAACTACTCAGCCATCCCCTTAACTACTCAGCCATCCCCTTAACTGCTCAGCCATCCCCTTAACTACTCAGCCATCCCCATAACTACTCAGCCATCCCCTTAACTACTCAGCCATCCCCTTAACTACTCAGTCATCCCCTTAACTGCTCAGCCATCCCCTTAACTACTCAGCCATCCCCATAACTACTCATAATCTAGTCATAAATTTACAACTGTGTGCATGTATTTGTGTGGAGCACAAATCAAGGCTCATGTGTGGAGGGTAGAGGAGAGCTAGCCAGAGTTGATTCTCTCCTTCTGTAATGTGAGTCCTGGGCATTGAATTCAAGATGTCAGGCTTGGCAGCGGGCACCTCACCACCTAAGTCATCTCGTTGCCCCCCCCCCCATTTACTTTTAAGACATAGCATGTTGTTTATTATCTCTATTTAAAAATTTTAAAAACCTTTCAACACTTCATTTAAAAAAGGCCTTCTCATCCTGCCCACTATCTTTATCAAGTTTCTTAGAATTAATAAAACAGTTTCTGGCTTTCATGGCACCCACCAGGAAAGGAAGAATTATCTTTAATATGTATGGATTTTTTTTTCTGAGCTGGAAAGGAACTTTTATTGTGTAGTGTGATAGCTGTGCCCAGTACAAAACATCAAAATGTGATTCTCCCCCAAAGAGACATTAACACTTATAGTATGCAGAAGACGATTTGAGCAGTGAGTTTCTACTTACTCTTTCCTGTCCACTTTCCTTGTTGTTTTCCAATTGTCTTGTCTCCGCTTTAAGATGCCTCCTGCATTAGGGAGATTACTGTGTGTGATGGAGCTACAGAGGTGTCCCCTTCTTTTGTCTTTTGACTTTGAACACGGCTTTTGCAATACAAAATTTTTTAAGTTTATTGATTTATCAGTTTTTAATAGCATCTAGATTTTTGAGCCATAGAAGCTTTTTCTACCTAAAAAAATTTAAATTTTTACTAATTTAAAAAAACAATTAGCATTTTAAATTTTTGATAGTATTTTATAATCACGTAATAGCTCATTATTTTATAACTTTTAAAATATTGGACTTTAGGATTTTATTGCTTCTTGTTGTTATAATTCAACATGCTACAAACACTTGCAAATAAATCTTTATTCATTTTCCATATTATTTCCTGGCTGGAGTCATGACATTATTTAAACTTGTTACATTTCATTACATGGTTTCTGAAATGGAACCAACTGATGATTTCCTCAACAGCTTTTAGTATATCTTTTGGAGAAGAATGTTTTAAAGTTTAAAAACAAATCATTTTATAATTTCATACATCAAATCATACAGCTTGTTTCCTGCCTTGAGAAGAGATGGAGCTGTATAGAGAGGCGGCCGCTGCCTGTTGTCTTGGAGGTTCTGAACGATGGTTGATGGTAGTAGCATCCTCTCTCATGCTGTTTCTTAACTTTGCAGGCTCCCTAAGACCCTGGCCAGGCTGGACCTCAAAGGCAATGCCATCCAGGACATGGCTGAGAGGGAGCTCAGGGACCTCAAACTGCTTCAGGTTCTCAACCTGAGGAACAACAAGATCTCTGCCTTAGACCTCAAGGTGCTGGAGGGGTTGCCCCGACTCAGGCACCTGTACCTGGATGGAAATCCCTGGAACTGCACATGTAGCCTCCTACGAGCCAGGGAAGTCCTGAAGGCCAAGGGCACGGATGTGAAAGGAGGCCAGTGTGCCGCCCCAGCGGAACGACAAGGGGAGAGCTGGATGTCTTCCAAGAAGATCGCAAGACAGTGCGAGCATCACATACGCCAGAACGAGAAAAGCAAAGAGACCAAGAAGAAATCAAAACCGGAAGACTCTTCCAGCATCAGACTCAGCGTGGATGACGACGATGATGATTATGAGATAGATTAGAGATGAGCGTTGTTTTTCAGTTTAGAAAATGATTTTTAACGTTCACTCTCTTAAGCAGGAATATGCTGTCATTTAGATATGCAAGCCTCCTTTGTAAGTGGTGTTTGTATTTTTGAAGGTGAAATAAGGGTTAAGATTAGTTAAAATGTGGGAGAAAAGAAACAATAGATGTGTTTCCCATTTTGAAACAATTTGTACCTTAGTCTGCAACCTAGGCAAATAATGCCAAATAAAATTAACATTCAATCAACTTCCCACAAATAGAGTATTTCATGTTACCAAACAATTGTTGACATTTTTATACAAAGCTGCTGTTAATGGCCTACACTCCAAACTCCTACCATAAGCAACAAGAACGGGATGGCCAAGTGTGAAAGAATTTACTAGAACAGCACACAGTAACTCACAGAATCAACGGAAAGGCTGAGGAGTCTGGCGAGAACAGTGGGTTACCTTCCTCTCAGGAGAATGAAGTGCCTAGGAGAGAGAGAATCATCAGGGGAGGCTCGCAGTTTCTGAGGCATCAGTGCGTGGTTGTGTGGTAGGAGCTTGTAGCAGAGGCCTTGCTCACTCACCTCATGGTGACCAGAAAGGAAAGAGAGAGAAGAGAGCCCACCAACTGGATAAGGCTTTCAACTAACACCCAATCACCCGCCTTCCTCTAACTAGTCTCCTCTACTTCAAAGTTCCATAGTGGCATGGGTGGGGTGGGTGGGGATTCCAGGAGCCATTTCAGGTTCAAATATGGGAGCTAGGGATCAGGACCGCGTGAGGGGCTCACACAGAAGTATGCAGTGGGGTCATCCTTAGCTTCTCCAGGGCTCTCCTCTCTGGAGAATAAAGCACTTTCTAGTACTTCCGGAATCTGTTTACCTATCTTCAAGACTTCTACCCTTAGAGGTGGGGGGCAGGGAGGTCATTTGGCCTAGTATGACCCCTGTTTGCCCAGGGGACAGAAGGTCTTTACCAAAACCCAAAGGAAGGCAGAAGAGGAAGTGTGAGTTAGCGGGGTATCATCACAGATGTCGCTGCGTGCTCTGAGTTATAACATTTGGTTTCTCCGAATGAACCACAGTCTCCACAGTGCCTTCCTTCCGGTTAACTGCATGTTCTCGAGGGTGCTTTGTCTGGGTACAGGAGCACACAGACATCAGAATAGTACTTTTTTTTTAATCAGTCCGTTCACTATTTATGTGAATGCATTTGAAACCCCATTCAAAGTTAGTTTTTGTTCTCGTTAGAAAAAAAATTATCTGTGAAATAGTTAAGAAAGTTTTCCACCAAATACCCCTCATGGCAGAGAAAATAAATAGGGATCAGGAAGTTGGGCAAAGAAGCCACCAAAGGTAGCCCTTTCTCCAGCGGCATGTTTTAAATTAAAATTTCACACAGGCCGGGCGGTGGTGGCACACACCTTTAATCCCAGCACTTAGGAGGCGGAGGCAGACAGATCTCTGTGAGTTCGAGGCCAGCCTGGTCTACAAAGCAAGTTCTAGGAAAGGCGCAAAGCTACACAGAGAAACCCTGTCTTGAAAAACAAAAAAAGACAAAAAAAAAAAGGAAAGAAATAAAATTTTCACACAGGTTTTTACTTTATTTGATTTATATTTGCATTTTCTTTCTTCAAAATATTTATGAAAATTGAAATTCTTTGAGAGGAGTCTTATGTATATTTTGGTTTCTGAAACTCCCTAGTACACTGACATTTCCTTCCCCAGCACATAAATACATAAATAACAGAATTTAGACACAATTTTTCTTGCTATTACACGGGTTAGATCTATAGTTCTCTCTAAAAAAGATTAGTTATGTGTGATGTGTAATGATTTACATACTCTAACACCTCCTGGGGATTTATTCTCAGTTTCCAAGCTGCAAGGGCTTGAGAATAAAGCTAGTCATTTTGCACATGGAGGAGATGGCCTGGAGGGGCTCACAGACAGGAAAAAGCAGAGCTAGGGCTTGTTTTCAGTGCTCTCCCAAACTGAACCAGGGTTTGGTGCTTGTTGAATAAGGGCTTTACTATGAGATACACTCCACGCCTGCATCCTGTCTTTGGTTTGGGTTCAGCCTTCCAACATAGCATGCATGCGTGTGTGTGCCATGTGTACGTATGTGTAGGGATTGAACCTAGAGCCTTGTGCTTACTAGGCAAGTTCTCTAACATTTATCAATTTCCCCAGCTCTTTCAAAATGTTTTATTCTGAGACAAGACCTCATTATGTTGACCAAGTTAGCCTTGAGCTCACTCTGTAGCCCAAACAGGGTTTGAACTTGTGATCCTCTTGCCCCCAGCTTCTTGAGTAGGGATTATGGGCTTGTGCAACCAGTCCCAGCTTACTTCTAGGCCTTTTATATAAGTTACATGAATTTTACCAGCACTGAGAAATTAAATACACACACACACACACACACACACACACACATGCACACACACACTTAAAGCTCTGTTTTGTCAAGGACCCTAGTTCAGTTATGTCTAACATCACTCAGTTAGATAATTTACTCAGCTAAATTTGCTTATTCATATATACACACACATCAATGAATGAATTACTGTGCTCACAAGTGACCCAGAATTTCAATGGTTTTTTCATCATATACTTGCAATTGTTTGATGACTGTTAAAAACTGAATGATTGCGCCGGGCGGTGGTGGCGCGCGCCTTTAATCCCAGCACTTGGGAGGCAGAGGCAGGCGGATCTCTGTGAGTTCGAGGCCAGCCTGGGCTACCAAGTGAGTTCCAGGAAAGGCACAAAGCTACACAGAGAAACCCTGTCTTGAAAAACCAAAAAAAAAAAAAACAAAACAAAACTGAATGATTGCCAGAGTATTGAGCCAAAATTAAAGGAAGGACACAAATAGCCCAAAGCACAATTTATGAGAAGAAACTTTTTGTGACTGGTGAGAACCCAGTTCTAATAATGGGTTATCTCATCATTAAACTGACAACGCACAGATTTTTGTACTGTCTCTGAGCCCTGGGTTTGCCTTTATTTTAGATGTATCTGGTTTTGACACAGAATAACGTATTTTCCTATTTTTCTCTCTAAGGCAAAGTATTATTTCAATATACTCTGTAAGTTTCCCACTGAACACTGTTGCTAGGAATCCAGTACAGAGGACTTGATGCAATAGCCATTATTCAGATGTCCAGATAGTCACCTTGATGGATAAGGTCCGATGTCAGCTTGACTGGATTTAAAATTGTGCAGGAGATTAACCCCCAGGCAAGTCTATGGGGGCATTTCCAAGAAGGATTAATTGGAGAAAGATTCACCCTGAATGTGGGTGAAGCTATCTCATGGACTGGGACCCAGACCCAATAAAAGGGAAAAAGGACCAAGTCAGGGCGTTCCCTTTCCTTTGGTCCTCCCAGATGTGAGCAAGTAGTGTTTCTCTTGCTCCAGCTGCTGTGCCCTTCCCACCATGAGGGATTATACTCTCAAGCCATAACAGAAATAAACCCTCTCATTTGTTTTCACAGTAGCTGTTTCTTGTCAGGTACTCAGTTACAGAAACAAGAGAAGTAACTAAGACCATCACTGACAAACGGCTGTACAATGGGGTGTTCATGGATCTAGTGTGGATTCAGAAAATGCTTTATGGTCATTCGGCCTCAGCCATTTTCTTCCCACTCCCCACTCCCCACAAGCCTGGATTAGATCACTGTTTGTAGGGCTTGTGCTATTTATTTCTTCTCAGCCACTTTTATTATTTATTTATTTATGTTTTTTTTTTTTTTGAGACAGGGTTTCTCTGTGTAGCTTTGGAGCCTTTCCTGGAACTCACTTTGTAGACCAGGCTGGCCTCGAACTCACAGAGATCTGCCTGCCTCTGCCTGCTGAGTGCTGGGATTAAAGGCGTGCACCACCACCGCCCGGCTTATTATTTATTTCTTATGCAGAGGATTGAGCTAAAGCCTTATGCAAGTGGGGCAGGTTCTCCACCTCTGAGTGAAACCCACAGCACTTTTAGTAAACACAAAAGCCACTGAAAATTTCTCAAAGAGGCCACAAGTGTCCATGAGTTAATTAAAATGTACCTCATGATAATGATCCATGTAGAAATATAATGACATTCCAAAATAGGCTATCTTACAGGCTGCGTATTGTTAATTTTAGTTGATTAAAGGTTATTTTTTATTCATTGGTTGTAGATGTAACAGTCTTAATAAATAAGAAACACAGAGCCAAATGCAGAGTTAAAAGCCCAAGAGGTCAGAGCAGTAGCTAAGAGCTGATACTAAAAACCCTTTCTTACCCTCCGCTGCCTCTGCCGTCCTTCCCCTCAGAAAGAGACCTACTTCCTGTGTATCTGTCTTTTTATTGACTTTCTGTTCTGCCTTCTTATTGGTTGTAAACCCAACCACATGACCTCCTCGTCACTGCCTGTCTATACAGACCTCCAGGTCTTCTATGGTTGGTATTGAGATTAAAGGCTTATGTCTCCATGCTGGCTGTATCCTTGAACACACAGAGATCTGCCTGTCATGTGATCGGGATTAAGGTCATGTGCCACCACTGCCAGACTTCTGCTATGGCTTGCTATTAGCTCTGACCCCCAGGCACTTTTATTTATTAACATACAAATAAAATCACATTTCAGCACAAATAAAATATCACCATAATTGGTTTTAGGTATCATACAAAGGAATGGGTTTCATCATGAAATTTTCATACACAGACTTTATTATATCTTGCTGTAGTATTTATCTCTCTCCCAGCCCCTCCCCGCTCCTGCTGTCCCTTTCTTCCCCACTTTCACGGCACGTGTTCCATTACCCTCTCCCATCGCCATCCCTTTCCTTCAGACCTCCTTTTGCTCCTTCACGGTCCCCTTTCTACAAAGGCTACATGTCACATGAGAATTCTGTGAAAATTACTTCCTCCCACTCTTGTATGCATCCCTAAGGAGTGAATGTTCAGCTGTTTCCTCATCCTTTCCTTTGTTTGGGGGCCTTTAAAAATGGAAAGGCCACGGGTATTCAGTGTGATACTAGTGTGCTTTGTGGCTTACATATTTGTGATAAAAATGTAATTTGAGAGTTTTCA